CTGGCCCCAAGTGCTAAGAAGTCCTGAAATAAAACCTTCACTTACAGCTCTGACTTCTACAAGCATTCCTACAATGCAGAGCTAAGTTATCTGTATTTACACTTAAATAACTCATGGGAAAGTTCCATATTTAAATCCATACTTATACACCCAAGACCAGGATAAAAAAGAGTATAGTTTTTCAAAACCCATGGGCTCCTAAGTCAAGTCATACATATAAAAACTTATGTTGATTAATAAATCTAACAAAACAAGGAATTTAAGAACATAAGAGTTAAAAAATTTAGAGAAAAACACACAACTGTGGATATAAACCATGACTAAACAAACCCTCATAGGAAAGGTTATGCCAGGTGCAGAGTTTTTATCTTTTCCACCATAGCTCTGGATGGTCTCAGTTTTAAAGCAGGATTGATTGGTACCAGAAAATACATTCTTTCTATCACTCAAAATGAAAAGAGTAGTTAAAAATTAAAGAAATCTGACATTTATCAAATACTAATGAGTTCAATTAGTGTATCAAAATTAAATGTTCATGCTACACTTAGTCCATAGATTTTCTAGTTTAAATCTTCTGAACTACAAGCTATATCCAGTCTACAGACATATTCTAAACAAGTTTTTATTCACCTAGCGATAGTCAGCTCCACTATGTGGAATACATGTAATAAGGAAAAACAGAGATCCAGCTTTTGAAGAGTTCATGAAAATTTCAATTTAAGAAATTAATATTTGCAAGTATCTTTTTCTATGGCCAGTTTTTGAAGTACCAAATTAATTATTTAAATTACCCAAGTATTGATTCTTTTCAGTACCATACTACATTGTGCCCAGATATAACTAGACTGAAGTAAATGACGGAAAAATGTAAAGTCATACAACTGATAAGGTACTTTTATCTTATCTAGAACGTATAAAGAATTCCTACTACTCAATTAAAAAAAAAAGTAAGAAACAAATAACCCATTGTAATAATAGGCAAAGGATTTGAACAAACATTTTTCTAAGGAAGATTTACAAATGGTTACTGAACACTCAAGAAGACACTCAACATCATTAGCCATAAGGGAAATGCATATCAAAACCAAAATGAAATTATAACTTCACACTCACTATGATGGCTATACTAAAAATAGATATCAACAAATGTTGGCAAGGGTGTAGAGTAACTGGAATCTTCATAAACTGTTGGTGAAATGTAAAACAGTGCAGTCACTTTAGAAACAGTCTGGCAGTTCCACAAAAGGTTAAATATACACATCGTATAAGCCAGCAATTCCACTCCAAGGTACATGCCCAAGAAAAACAAAAGTACGTCCACTCAAAAACCACAAATGTTCACAGCATTACTCATAGTAGCCAAAAAGTGGAAACAATCCAAATGTCCATCAATGGATGAATGGACTAACAAAATGTGGTACATTCATACAATAGAACAACTTAGAATAAAGTAGCAATAGATGCTACAACATGGATAATCCTTGAAAACATACTAAGTGAAAGAAGCCAGGCCCAAAGAACCATATACTATACAATTCAATACACATGAAATGTCCAGAACTGGCCAATCCAAAGAGAAAGAAAATAAACTGACAGTTGCCTGGTGGGAAATGGGGAGTTTCTGCTGATGAGCATGGGGTCTCTTTCTGGAGTGATAAAAAGGCTCCAAACTCAGTTGTGGTGATGGTTTGCACCATTCTATGAATGTACAAAAATCTTTGTTGTATACTTTAAATAGGTATGTGCATTATGTCTCAATAAAGCTGTTATTAAAAAAAAAGATACTTGGTTATGAAGCTGCCGCATGAAATCTGAACCATTATGTTTTTTAAAATTAAAAACTTAAGGCTTAGTATTTTATAAACGTGGTAACAGTCTAGCTTCAGTATTTATTAAATATGACATGTTATGAACACTTCAGGGTAACAAATCTTTGCTAACCTTTTGTGAAATAGCACCATGTAGTATAAATTATGAGAAGACATACTGAAATATGCCATATCTTGAAATTCATTAGTTTAATACCAAAAGTAACTCTATAATATAGGTATTGTCTTACACTGCAGTTGCAAAGAAGCAACTTGCCACAGTAACATATTTACTAAGTAGAAAAGCTATTTCAGACCCAGTCTGATTCTAAAACAAAACTTCCTTTCCATTAACAATACTGGCTCACTAACAGGACTGAAATAGAAATCAGAAAACCTAGATTCACAGATACACATTAATGTCTAGGATCATCCCACCTAGCTATTTGCCCACTTTAGTTTTTTCAATCTGTAAACCCCAAAGTATTTTAATAAGGATCAAAATGAAGTAACAGAAAATATTTTTGCACACTATAAAACTCTACTATAGTTCTGTTTGAATCTTGTAAAAATGAAAACTTTACACATTAGAAAAAACATTCCCATAAACTGGAACTCAAAAGATAAAACTGCCACAATAAGAATGGTCAAAGAAAGGCTTTTCTTTACCTCTGACACAGTTAGAAGCCCCTTTATCCTTATATAACAAGATTTTGACCTCTCTAGAAAAGCCTGGATGGTACTATTATAGATAAAAATAGAGCTACATGGTTTCAGGCATCACTATACCACTAAACCACATGGAAACCAAAAAACCTTGAAGGAAAAGGCAGGTTAATTGTTTTTTTCACCCAGAATTATAGTGAACTACTTAAAGCAACAATTTTTTTTTTTTGAGAGGGCATCTCTCGTATTTATTGATCAAATGGTTGTTAACAACAATAAAATTCTGTATAGGGGAGTCAATGCTCAATGCACAATCATTAATCCATCTGTTCGGATTAAGAGTAGTCAGACCAATCTTCTGAAGCATAACGAACAAGTTTTTACATGGAAAACAAATTCTTACATAGTAAAGCAACAATTTTAATAGCTCTACCTTCAATTTTGAGATATCTTTTATTGGTCATCAAAATCTTATCAACTCTAAAAAGCTATCATCATATAGCCATACCATGGAATAATACTCTGCCAGTTAAAAAATCATTTTTTAAAGAACAGCAGCAAAATGCTCATAGAACATTGCTGTGTAATAAAACAGAACATTTAAGAATGATAATTAAAATGCACTGAGCACTCATCATATGTTAGGAATTGCGCTAACAGCTTTACATGCTTTGTCTTACTGAATGTTTAAATGTCCTTCAGATATTATCTCAATTTTACAGGTGAGGAACTGAGATGTACCTGCTGATAACTGACACTAAGGTTATAGTAGTAAACAGGAACATGCAATGAACCCATCCAATGGACTAGTACCATCCATGTATCCAAAGGATAGGATATCCTTAGGTACTCAGGCACTCATCTGCACACTGCTATGTGTGACTCAGGAGCCCATGCCTTAACTAAATTATACTCCACAGACAGTTTTTGTTTAAATATGACTAAATAAGATTGGAAAGTGCTTTCACCCTGAGCTTGAACTGAAGATTCTGAGGTGTCTGGGTAAGTCCACAGGAGTAGACTGTGTTAGGGTTTGGGGACCGGGGCATTGGGATGGGAAGGATATCATGCTGTCTCTGTCAGTACTGGCCCCTGGACTTCTGGTCTCAGCTCTATGTAGGTAAATGCTACAGGAAAAGGCTAAAGCTGTTCCCATGAAGGATTCTAAGACAGATGAATGTGACACAGAATTAGAGCAGTCACTGTCTCCACTTCAAGTAAAACACAGGTTGATTTGAAGTACTGAGGATTAGACGAAATACAGCACTACTCTGACAGCTCCAGATTTTGCAACTCTTGACATAGGAGAATGAACCCTGGGCAAGGATAGTGGCAGAAGTTAGAGAGTAAGATCCCATCCCCGGGTACCATTTTGAGCAGAGGACATCAACCAGACTGCAAGACAAGAAAGGAAGATGAGAAGACTGAATTTCTGGGAAACACTCTGAAGCCTTTGAGAAATAACCAGAAATAAAATATTGATGGAGGTCCCTCAACAAGAGGGGCCAAGAGTCAGTAAATGTTAGTTATTTTCATTCTTTCACATCCACTGAAGTGATGAAAACTGGAAGGTATTAAAAAACTGGAAGGAAATACCAGAATTTTAACAGTCTATTGGGTGGTATAATTTCAGATGACTGTTACTGCCTTTAAATGTTCTGCATTTTCCAAAATTTGTCTACAATGAGCAGTATTATTTTTTAACCAGAGAAAAAAAAAGGTTTTTAAAGTCAACCATTCTAGTAATATAAAAATGATATTTTTAAAATTAATTTTCAAAACCTACACCCAAATTTGTGTTTCAGACTTCTAAACAATTACATCTTGTTATATGTAAGTAACTGCCATTCTTCTTAGAACTGGGAGTATATTTTCTTATGGTTATATGGTACATGATTATACATTTCAATCAAAACAAAATTTATTTTACCCCATTATGTTTACTATATGGCTTCTGATTCACCTGTATTTAACATTCTATTTCCAAGCAGAAAGCTCATATTCATTGGCAGACTATAGTCTTACAACTTAGGACTAGCAGACCCAGGCAACCAGACTTCTGCTCAAGAGGCAGAAGTTCTGAGCTATATTAATTTCATCAAGTAATTTCTATCAATCATCCATTATGTACATGATTGCATCTTATGCTGATTTTCATACATCATAAACTGACTTCCTAAAATAAATGAAAGTAATGAAGTCCATAATTGTAAAAATGTTCCTATAGCCTGTTTTTGGAGATCAGGTACCACAGAAAAGTAAACCTTTGTAGAAAACCCTTTGTGAACATAACCTTAAACATAACCTTCATATTAGAATTGGTTTTAAAAGCAGAAATAAAATTTGAAATGTAACCCCAGCTATTAATCCTATATGATACTATTAATTGAGAAAACAAGAATCAAAACAACCTTTCTGGATACCTACCAAAGTCTCAGCTTCTCAACAGTGCTCATTAGAAGTATTTTATTGGTAAAGGAAAACTTTAAATTTAGTCAAACATTTAAAATCAGGTCATATTCTTACCTGGAGATTTGATGTCCAGCATAGAGGAGCAGGGCAGTCAAAAAATATAGGTAAAGCTGAACAAGATGCTGCCTGGGCAAGGTTAGTAGCACAACACTTAAGATATAACCTGTAGCAGAAATTAAGAGTGATATAAATAAAATACAATCCTAATTTAGTCTCTCAATTAATTACACTAATAAAAAGGGCCTAAAGTAAATTACTTTCCAGTTAGGTTTCAACAACTTTGAGGTTTTTTACTTCACTATGAAACTAAATTTAGCAGAGTAAAATCACTGGACTTTTTGCTGAAAATATAAAGCATTTTTCACTTCTTCTGTAGATTTTCTGATTAATAATCTAACACGTCACACAAAGGTACAAGAAGACTCCTCTCATCATCTACCTTTGCTTGATGTCTACTTACTTGTTCTACAACTCTCTGATTCTCTAGTCTGAGTAAGAATTGGATGTCTTAATGTTCCTCTACAAGGCTGCCCTGCCCCTTCCTTTTGGCTCAAGATCTTATTTTTTTTTTTTTTTTTTGAGAGGGCATCTCTCATATTTATTGATCAAATGGTTGTTAACAACAATAAAATTCAGTATAGGGGGGTCAACGCTCAATGTACAATCATTAATCCATCTCAAGCCTAATTCTCGTCAGTCTCCAATCTTCTGAAGCATAACGAACAAGTTCTTACATGGTGAACGAATTCTTACAGAGTGAATAAATTCTTACATGGTGAACAGTACAAGGGCAGTCATCACAGAAACTTTCGGTTTTGATCATGCAATATGACCTATAAACCATCAGGTCAAATATGAATATTCATTTGATTTTTGTACTTGATTTATATGTTGATCCCACATTTCTCCTATTATTATTATTATTTTTATTTTTAATAAAATGCTGAAGTGGTAGGTAGATGCAAGATAAAGGTAGAAAACATAGTTTAGTGCTGTAAGAAGGCAAATGTAGATGATCAGATGATCAGGTGTGTGCCTATGGACTAAGTATTAATCCAGGCTAGACAAGGGCAGCAAGACATCCACGGATGCAGAAGATTTCTCTCAAAGCAGGGGGGGTGAGGTTCTGAGCCTAACCTCTGTTGATCCCCAAATTCTCACCTGATGGCCCCCCTACGACTGTGCCTGTCTTAGGTTGTTCCTCCCTTGAGGAATCAAGATCTTACTTTTTTCTAACTCCTTAAGACGCTGTATGTTCCATTTCTTCAGTTACTCCCCTGACACATCCTACCACTCTTTCCTAAAAGTGTGCACGGCTCTTCCCCCAATTCTGAAGAAAAACTTATCTTCACACTAATTTCTCCTTTTTCAATTACCTATTTTTCTCTTTCCACAGACATGTTATAAACTACCTCTACTGATGCCTCTATTTCCTAACCATCTATCATTCCGTCTTTATCCCCTAAAATCTGCAAACCTCTACAAACCTCCTCTACCCTCCACACTCTAAAGAAACTCGGAAGTTAACAATCACCTACTTGTCAAATCTAAAATGCCCTGCTTATCCTTGTCCCAGCATCTGAAGCAATTACTCTTGAAACTGTTATTCCTTGGCTCTGTGACATGGATTTCCTTTTACTCCAAATTCTCCCCTCCACTTTCTTTTCACATTCTCAAATAAACAGAAAACTTAATCCCTATACAACTGCTTTTCTCTATATAAAGTATCTAGCTCAAAGAATCCAGTTTTTTGCTTCATACACACTATCCTAGATGAATGTTATTAACAGTTACTGAGAGCCTACTGCACAAGCAAAAATAATATTTTATTCTAAGTAGACATCTTATAGCTCATGATGCCTGAAATATATTCCACTTACATGTCCTTATGAGTACAAACTAAGCTCCCTTCCTCCTCTCACAAGCTAGCTCACCCTCTTTCATTCTCCTAAATCCCATTCACTGACTCAAACCTGAGTCATCTTTTCTCTTATCAAGTCTGCTGAATCTTCCTCAATAAATCTCGTTACCCTTCCTTTCCCCCATACGCTATCCTAATCCACTCTGTAGTATCTGCTCTTCTTCAGTCTCTATCCTCTTCCATCCTATACTTCATTACTCAGATAATATGCCCCAAACCATCACCTTCACTTAGACAACTCCTGCTCTAAACATCTTACAAAATCTGGTTGCAGTTTACTCTTCTATAACTATTTTCCACTTATTACTGTTTTTATTAGGGCACAGATATCACTTCTTAGCACCGAATGCCCTTCTAATGCTGAATCAGTTATGCTTGAAGCTAAGGAAATGGGTGGTTGTCAGGGACTAAAGAGGTAGAATTCTGATTCCCCACACATCCTGACTTCAAGAACAATCCAGAAGAAGCCAGAAATAAACATTTTTATTTACTTTTCATTTCTCAAAATAATTTCCCCAATCTATTTTGTAAATCCCTACCTTAAAGGACTTTAAGATATTTAGAAGAATTTTTTATTTAGCGAGTATTCTCAGTGTTTGTGGCTAAAGGATTTCCTAACCAGTCTATTTCATGAAGATTCTCTTTCAAGTCTTTTAATGAACTATCACTTTTCCAGATAACCTTATCTTAGCCTTCTCCTGAACTCTCATTAGATCAGCTGCCAAATTCTCTAGATTGAACATACTCATTTCATTCATTCTTTGAATTATCTAGTCACTCAACTAGTACTATTATGTGTAAAAGATGACCCATATGCATTCCTAGACAACGAAGATCCAAAGACTAAGGTAATCACAGTCTAGTGAAAAAATAAACATAGACAAAAGCATGATACAATATTGGTGCTTTAACAGGTAAACATTAAAAGGGCTATGATTAAGTGATTAGGTTTGAACTGGACCTCAAAAGGTGGATGGATCTTTATCAGGCAAGAAAAAGGGGAAACCTTCTAGGAAAAGAATAGTAGGTACAAAAACCAAAAAAGCACAAAAGGTATTTCCAGGAGACAGTAAATTCTAGGCTAGACTACAATTTGGAAAGTATTAGAAAATTAAGTTAATAGAACTGGTGGCTAATGCCTCAAAAAAGTCTTATATATGATAACAAGGAATTTAGACTGGGCTAATTGTTCTCAAATCCTTTAGATACCCATTAAGGTGAAGAAAGAAAACAAAAAACAAAACAACAAAAACCCTATAGCTTACCTATACCTCCACTTACACATTCAGTGGAAAAATAACTCTGTAGCAACAATAAAATATATTGTACAAGAAGATTAAGGGATTATGAGTAGTGCTAAAACAAGCAGTATGAATGAATCATTTTAACTATACACACATAATCTAATTACTTAAAAAACATAAGCCAAAACCATCGCTGATGCAAATACGCAGCACTAGTCCCTCTCTGGGATTAACCAAACCTCAAAAAGCTAAATAATGATGAAGCTAACCCAACAGTAATTACAACTAAAACTCAAGATGAGTAGCATTTAAAAACCATGACCTGCTTAAAATAACATTGATGAATATTCCTAACAAACTGCAAGAATTTGCTATTTAAAGGTTACCTCTTTAGTAGTGGGGGAAAAATGAGGACCTGTAATAAAACAGTAGCTTTAGGTATAGAGTGGCATGGTCAGCTCTGAGGCACATATTTAAACAGGTCTCAGTGGTGATCTATGGTAAGTAATGGAGAACAAGGAAGCGAAGACTGGTTTGTTTCTAATTTGGGTAATGAAGAGGACAGCTTTGCTATTAAGATAGGAAATACAGGAGGAAGAGGAGGTTTAAAGTGAAGATGATGAAGACTTCAGTGATTGATAATTGAAGCATGTATAGACTATTTTGGTGGAGATGTCTAATGGTACTTGGAAATTCATTGATTCATTATCAGGCATTAGCGAGGTGCTGGGCATACTGAGATAACAGACCATCCCATTCCTACCTTAAAGGACCCCACAATCTAATTAGGAAAACAGATGAGCATACGGACCGTTAGAATGAAGCATAGTTAAGTGCTAAAGTGGAAGTATGAACTAGGTGCCTTGGGATCCCAGAGGAGGAACACTAACTGGACTAAGGTGGTCAAAAAAGCAGTGGAAAGTGGAGACAGAGATTCGCAGCCAAAACCATGTGAGATCACCCCAACAACAAAAGATGAAAATTAAATACAAATTTTGTGCAATATCAACACTTAAGAAAAATTCTAAAGAAAAAGGACAGCAAAGAATCAGAACTAATGGTTGAAACTTTAGGAGAATCCAGAAACATTTTCAAGAAAGAGGAAGTAGTCAACAACTTCATAAACACACAAAGATCTGCAGAATGAGGACATAAATGAAGCTCGAGTTTTACATTCTAGGTCACTGATGATTTCAGTGACCACTATTCTCAAATCCACTCTTGACACTCCTTACCTCGTGCCTAAATCCTAACTGGTCTTCTTACCTTCAGCTTCTCCCCTCCCCAATCCATCATCCTATAGAACACTGCCTAATCCATCCTCTTAAAATGCAGCTCACCTCTAAGTCCTTCATTGAACCATCACTATCTACTCATTAAGCACAATACCTAACATGCAATTCAGGGCTTTTCACAAAAGCTTCCACTCTTCCTTTTCAATATGATTTCTATTCTCCTTTTTATATTTTATACTCTGTAAAACAGTTCCATAATTAACATTCCACCAATTACATTTGGACAGTCACTTGTCTTTGCTGTTCTAAATTTGAAGGTACAGTTATATTCCATAAACACAAAGTTTACCACTCCCTACTCTAATTTTTAAGCTCTTAGTAACAAACAGAGAATATAAAGGGGGAAAAACTCGCAATAGTAATAAAAAAGATGAACTACCTAGGAATGAACTTAACGATAAATGTCCAAGACCTATATAAGGAAAACTTTAAAACACTCAAAAAGAAATCTTAAACATAAGAAGCTTTTCTGCATTCTTGCAAACAGACGAGTTAGCTTCCTTAATCTATCTCTTCACCCTAACTTAAAATTTTCATAATGCAATCTCAAAAGGTTAACAGGGTTGTCTGTTTTTGGAACATGACCAGATAGTTCATAAAGTTCATATGGTTAGTTTTCTCACTAACAGTAACAGAAAAGATCTGAGGGGGGAATAAAGAACAATGAAAGGAGTAACTATCAGACAGTAAAATATGATCTAAACCCTCAATAATAAGAGACTAAAAGAACAGGAAAAAAGTTCAGAAGTGGAACAAAATACGTAATGGGATACATATAGTATATAATATAATGCACATGTAGTATATTATAACCAATCAGGAAAAGCTGGACTAAACCACTTAATAAATGCATGGAGACCATGTAATCTGGAAAGAAAATAAACTTATATCTATAACACACTGTACATGCAGATAAATTCTAAATGGAGCAATGTTGAAATGTAAGAAATGAAGCCATAAAAATAATGCAATAAAACATGACAGAATTCTTTATAAACTCAAGAATAAATAAGGCTTTTCTGGTTGACTCAAATTCCTAAAGCTAGAAAAGAAAAAGTGATAAATTCCTATTAAAAACAAATACTGCACGTCAAAAAGATCATAAGCAAAATCAAGAGAACCCAAACTGGAAAAGTAATTTCAACACATCACAAAGGGTTAATTTCCCTAATGTATACCAAACTCCCACAAATTGGTAAGAAAAGGCTAACAATCCCAAAGAAAAGTAGGCAAGGGACAAGAACTGACGACTGCCAAAAGAGGAAACACACGTTTTTCTTAAACGTGAATAAATTCAATCTCAATCAAAATATCAAAATACAAATTAAAATTACATTAAGAAACATCCATTTTTCATTCACTGGAATAGCCAAAAGTTTGGTAACACTTTTGATAAGGATGGAGGATTAAAGAAACTCTCAACCACTGTGGAGGTACAAAACAGTAAGACCCTACGGAAAGCAATATCGATCACTGTTACAAATGTATATACTCAGTAACCCAGCAATTTTACTTACAATAATTTATCTCTAGTCTATATTTGCACCTGTTGAAATTATGGCTACACAAAATTACTTAGTACAACACTGAATGAAAGAGAAAACAAAAGCTATTTAAAATGTCTGCCAATAAAATAACTAGTTCAATAAATTACAGTAGAGCCATACAAGGATACTATGCCAGTAGAAAACAGAATTGGAGGGTTGAGGGAAGACTGAGGCCTCAACATTTAATCAGAATCTTAAGATTTGACAGAACAGAAAGTGTGAACATGAAAAAAACAGAGAACAAAGCTTTATTTCATGAATAAAGGCAGTAGGTATGGCTCTATGATACATCATTAAGTTAAAGACAAAAGGTTCAAACAATATACACAATGCTATTATCTGCACAAAAAAAGTAATACATGGGTCCATCTTCTTAAAATGCAGCTCACCTCCAAGTCCTTCATTGAACTTCATTGAACTTATATTTAATTTATGCATAACATCTTTACATTTATTTTATATATGTCAAAATATCTTTAGAATTATACACAAGGATATAAAAATAGCTACTTGTTGGGGCTCAGTCTGAGTGAGAACTTAATAGATGAGGCAAAGAGATTAGAGGAAGATACTTCCACTGTATACTTTTCATGCTTTTTGATTTTTGAATATAAATATATTACCTATTGAAAAATTAGTAATTTTCAAAATGCATTTAAGGGTGAAATTCTGTAGATTGGAACATTACATAAATACATGATTTTTGACACAGGTTACTCCAACCAAAAATTGTTCAAGCTGAAAATTACTCATGTAGTCACTGCACTTACTCAATCACAGTAAATACACAGTAGTAAGTATATTTAAGAAGGCTCAGTTGAGTTCTCAAAGTTATAAACCAGAGAGTATGAATTAAAACTGTACTAGAACCCATTCAATTTCTAAAATTAATGTTTCTTGGTTTTTAAGCAGCAGCTTTTATAACAGTAATTCAATCTATTCAGAAATAATATTATGATAAGCACATTTTTTAAACCACAGTGCAAATTATTTTGCTGATTAAGCTAAAAATCTAAGCCAAGTACCCAACTGCTCTTCTATGACCAACTGGAATTATGTTCCATTAATTGACTAACACACAAAGCCTTTAATAAAAAGCTGAGAATTACAGTATTTCACAGCTTAAAAGAACCTTCTCATCACAGACTTCCCCATGGTATTGCCAGAGATGAGGTTTACTGTACCCAGATATTCTACTTCTAGTGCACTCTTTTCTACTATACATACGTCCCACAATGGCTTACTTGGTAATCTCTTAAGAGCTATAGGGGGTTCTCAGGGCTAAGCTTTGGAACCCAGGAAGTCCTTCCACAGAGAAAAAAAAAATCCCAGAGACAGGACAACCCTTCATAATTTTATAACAGATATACTTGTTGATGGGCAATTCTAGTAACAATAACATTAATAAAACTGCTGCAGTGTATTATTCAAACTACAACCTGAGTTATACAGTAGTAGTATTAAATGAAAATATATTGTTGCTATCATTAGATATAAACCAAAAATTAGCCTAAAAATTAAGGGTTATGACTTTTATTCTAGATGAATTTTATCTGTTTCCTACATTTATTTCTTTTAACTTCTTTAACCCATCAACGTTACTTCTACCACTAACTCCAAATCATATCAATTATATTTCAAGGAGTATAATTTTTTAAAATAATTATATCATTTGGAATTAAGTTTTTAAAATAATTATATCATTTCCTACATTTCATTTAACTGAAATAAATGCTTTATCTTTAACTGGCATTGTTTTGGAACAATAAAGAATATCTCATTTTAAAAAGCTTACTCTCTGAATTACTATCAAAACCCAAAATGACAAATTAGAACAGGCCAAATTTCTAGAAAGGCATTTCTCATTATTACATTTTATCACAGTAAAAACTAAAAATGTTTTCCTTCGCCTTCTAGTTTTGGCCAGTAAATAAATTCAACACTGTCTGTTTTCTTCTAGCCCTAATAATTTATATGCAGTGGAAAAACAAATAAACAAATAAAAATAAAACAAAAAAAATAAACAAGATTCATAAACTCTCATCAATAACTATGACTACCATCTCAAAGTAACTGGACCACATTTTAACCCAAATTCAAAAATATAAAGAGACATAAAAAACCAGTATGCTTACTAAAAGATTAGAAAGGGTGATACACATACTTACCTACATAATGCATATTAAGAGCCAAATACTTATACTGGAAAAGAGGGTTGTTACTGAGGCTACTTCTTTGGATCTGCTGGAAGAAGGAGCTGACATCCCATCTGTACAGGACATCCAACAGCATGATGCTTGGCACCCTCAGGGCCACATTTAACACTGCCTCCAGTTTCTCCTTTGCAGCCATGTTTTGTTCTTGGAGAAGACCTAAAATTTAAGAAACAGTGATACATAAAAATTAGTTATCTCAAATAACATTTAGACATCATTTTATGAATCTAATGGATTGTCACATACTATACAAAAACTATGTCACAATGTATAAAGCTCCTTAGCCACATCTACTATTTCTAGGTATTCATGAAATAAACTGTGTACTGTGTTTTCACGTTGACTTTTTCAGGTCTGACCAATCTCAAGATTCTGATTAAATGTTCAGGCTGCAAAATTTATTTTTAAAAAGCTCTTAACTCCAAATCTAGGCACTTAGCAACTAAACACCTTATAAAAATACTGTAGCTTTTGTTCAATTAACTTGAAAAGAAAAATTCACTCTCGTAAAATTATTTGAGATTTATGTAGCTCTTAAAAGAGGACAAAATTTTAAATAGTTATTAGTTTGAAGCATCTCATAGGCTATCCTTTTCCCTATTACTTACAATCAAAATTGAATTACTGAATTTTCATATTATATACAACCCAGAGAACTCATGATACCGATAAAGAAGATATTATTTGCAAAACTGTTTCCCTGCATCATTGAAGTAGAACTCTCAGTCTGAAATTCCCATAATCTGCCTTCAAAGTAGGAAAATAATATTCATCAAATTCTTCCCGATACACAAATTGGCACACAGAAATCAGGAGCTCTAAGTCTGTAGTCCCTGTCTTTGCTTGGCTGTTGATGAGTAGTAGTAGTAGCAGAATGAGAAGGAAAAAAAAAGGAAGGAAGAAAATAAAGGATCTCCTAGACAAACTACTATTTAAAAGGTCAATTCAGTGCAATATTGCTTTATTAACCAATAATTTGCAGATAGAGCTGCAAATTAACCCAAGAAATGTAAGAGAATAAGGTAAACATAAGTAGGTAAAGGACAATTTTAAGAGCAAAGATAATTCTGGAAATGTTGGCTCTGACAATATCCTTGTAAGAATTCTGCTGAGAAGGCTAAACACATATCTAGCTTCAGCAGTAATTTCAGACATTACAGCACAAACGAAAACATTTATTTCTGAAGAAAATTATAGTGGCAGATTGCTATGTTATGATTAAATATTTGTCAGTATTTCCATCTTACCCTCTAATTTTCATAACTTTCCAGCACAGATAGTTTAAAAAAAAAAAAGGCAGTTCAAATTGGCATTGTTAATTAAGTTTTTCTATCACTGAAAAACTGACTTTACTGATAGATGACTGATTATGTATCATTCCCATTACCCAAATGGTATATATATCCTATCAATATAAAATAAACATTTAAAAATACTGTAATTCTGATTACTTTAAATGAACAAGACCACTTTAATCACTTTCCTACATAAGTAAAAATAATGAGAGAACCAAAACCAAACAGTCTAGTTTTGGCCAGTAAATAAATTCAACACTGTCTGTTTTCTTCTAGCCCTAATAATTTATATGCAGTGGAAAAACAAATAAACAAATAAAAATAAAACAAAAAAAATAAACAAGATTCATAAACTCTCATCAATAACTATGACTACCATCTCAAAGTAACTGGACCACATTTTAACCCAAATTCAAAAATATAAAGAGACATAAAAAACCAGTATGCTTACTAAAAGATTAGAAAGGGTGATACACATACTTACCTACATAATGCATATTAAGAGCCAAATACTTATACTGGAAAAGAGGGTTGTTACTGAGGCTACTTCTTTGGATCTGCTGGAAGAAGGAGCTGACATCCCATCTGTACAGGACATCCAACAGCATGATGCTTGGCACCCTCAGGGCCACATTTAACACTGCCTCCAGTTTCTCCTTTGCAGCCATGTTTTGTTCTTGGAGAAGACCTAAAATTTAAGAAACAGTGATACATAAAAATTAGTTATCTCAAATAACATTTAGACATCATTTTATGAATCTAATGGATTGTCACATACTATACAAAAACTATGTCACAATGTATAAAGCTCCTTAGCCACATCTACTATTTCTAGGTATTCATGAAATAAACTGTGTACTGTGTTTTCACGTTGACTTTTTCAGGTCTGACCAATCTCAAGATTCTGATTAAATGTTCAGGCTGCAAAATTTATTTTTAAAAAGCTCTTAACTCCAAATCTAGGCACTTAGCAACTAAACACCTTATAAAAATACTGTAGCTTTTGTTCAATTAACTTGAAAAGAAAAATTCACTCTCGTAAAATTATTTGAGATTTATGTAGCTCTTAAAAGAGGACAAAATTTTAAATAGTTATTAGTTTGAAGCATCTCATAGGCTATCCTTTTCCCTATTACTTACAATCAAAATTGAATTACTGAATTTTCATATTATATACAACCCAGAGAACTCATGATACCGATAAAGAAGATATTATTTGCAAAACTGTTTCCCTGCATCATTGAAGTAGAACTCTCAGTCTGAAATTCCCATAATCTGCCTTCAAAGTAGGAAAATAATATTCATCAAATTCTTCCCGATACACAAATTGGCACACAGAAATCAGGAGCTCTAAGTCTGTAGTCCCTGTCTTTGCTTGGCTGTTGATGAGTAGTAGTAGTAGCAGAATGAGAAGGAAAAAAAAAGGAAGGAAGAAAATAAAGGATCTCCTAGACAAACTACTATTTAAAAGGTCAATTCAGTGCAATATTGCTTTATTAACCAATAATTTGCAGATAGAGCTGCAAATTAACCCAAGAAATGTAAGAGAATAAGGTAAACATAAGTAGGTAAAGGACAATTTTAAGAGCAAAGATAATTCTGGAAATGTTGGCTCTGACAATATCCTTGTAAGAATTCTGCTGAGAAGGCTAAACACATATCTAGCTTCAGCAGTAATTTCAGACATTACAGCACAAACGAAAACATTTATTTCTGAAGAAAATTATAGTGGCAGATTGCTATGTTATGATTAAATATTTGTCAGTATTTCCATCTTACCCTCTAATTTTCATAACTTTCCAGCACAGATAGTTTAAAAAAAAAAAAGGCAGTTCAAATTGGCATTGTTAATTAAGTTTTTCTATCACTGAAAAACTGACTTTACTGATAGATGACTGATTATGTATCATTCCCATTACCCAAATGGTATATATATCCTATCAATATAAAATAAACATTTAAAAATACTGTAATTCTGATTACTTTAAATGAACAAGACCACTTTAATCACTTTCCTACATAAGTAAAAATAATGAGAGAACCAAAACCAAACAGCTGTGTCTTAAAGGGTAAAAAAGCATTGAAAAATAAAATTTCTTATCAACATTTATTCCAATTACACCACTCAAGTGTAATTTCTCAAAGATCATGATATCATTAAGGATTTAAAAAAAACCCTAGGAAGAAATCCACCAAAATATTCACACTAACATCCATTCAACAGTGGGGTTGGCGTGATTTTTACTTGCTTCTTTCTACCTTTTTCTGCTTGCCAAACATTTTAGAATGTCCATGAATTAGTGGGAGGGCAGAGGGGACTACACTTAATAAATTTTTGGTAAAAAAATATAATGTGCTTATGCCATCTCGATGACTTAAGGAAATATACAGGAAATAACTACTTACTCTGGTGGTCAAACTGGTAACTCAGAGCATTCTTGGGAGTTTATTTCAAAGTACACAAATTTGGATAGATTTTTCTCACAAAACAGTCACGTGAAAATCACCATGTACTGATACAACAGTATTACTGACACGCTTTATACTGTAAGGCAAAATAACTATTTTTCCATGTCCTAGAATCAATATATATCATTACTGCTTTTAAAGTTAAAAAAAAAAAGAGACTGTTACTCAGTGAATAATTGTTGTCCATATTTATTTAAATTGACTGAAGCTGTCCTCTATTTTTGATTATTTTTAGACATACCCATTTTCACCATTTATTGTAGCTGTTACGGGGTAAAGAAAAAAAAATTAAACTGAACAAGCAAACAATCCTGCATTAGAAATTAAGAGCTGAACTACTAGGGGAAATAATTCTCCCTAATTCTTACAGAGGAAGCATCTCTATTACAAAAGAAGGCCATTAGCAGAATGGAATATGTTCCCTCTAATTACCACTACTCCCGCCTCACAAATAGAATAAAAAAAAAAGCTTGGATCCTTAAAGCTATTAATATAGAAGAATATTCAAGACAGATACCCAAACTCTACTGTATAGTAAACTCAAGACTCAACTGTCTGAATTAAGAAGGGCCTTGGATGGAATGAAATACGCCCATTTTAATAACAAATCAATTGCTTACTAAAAGTTTCATTTTTTTCTGTATGTGAATTTTAGCAAGTCATTGATTGGCAAGCTGGCCACATATAGGAACAGGGAGCAAACAAATTTAATACATGGAAGACAAATCTAATTCTACCCACAAGGGAGGTCTAAGGAAAGAGGAAAAAAAAAAGATGCCCCTAAATTTGAACCTTTCTAAAGTAGAAGTGCCACATGATGGAGTGATGACAATCACCTTACACCACACTCTAGCACCACACACTAAACCAACACCTAAACAAATATTGAAGTATTTATCCTAGTTGTAGATACCTTAAATCTCACACCTGCAACTCACAATACTTGAAGTATGAAATAAAAATGTAATCTTCTCTCCTGGGATAAAGAAATTATACCTCTACAATGCTGGGTTCAAGCCTAATTTACCTTTTCCTGTATTTATTGCCAGTCAGCTCTATTGAGGACTTTTGAAGTCAGAGAGCTCAAAAATTCTCTGAAAACCAAAACATCAAATAATCTTCATATAATCAAGCAATCTGAAGGCAAAGGATATGTAAGTTTGACACTCCTAAAGCCAAATACATAAGCTACTTCCTACCCTGTTCAGTTACATACGTTTTTACCTTCCATGCACGATTTTTAAACTTCCTCCTTAAATGTGAAAAGAACTGGGAAAGTAATACTCCATCCAACACAATGTCTCAGCAAGTAACATAAACTAAATGTGAATCAAATTTAAAGATGCTCCACACAGTAAAATACCTTAAAAAAATTTTTTTCTTTCCAATAACGGAAAAAGGCTCAACAAATGCTAACCGAAAAACAGGACCACACAATTTCATTAAGTGACTCTTCCAGGCTCAGAATAAGCAATCACTACTTAAAAACAAAGTAATGTCCTGTACAAGTATAATGCTACACAGTTCCCCATTCATATTTGTGGGTTAGGAAACACATGGGACCTTTTACTTTCCTGAAAACACTGCATTTGGGGTTTGAATATGAAATCTAACAATTAATCCTGAACAATATGGAAAATCTAAGTTTTTAAAGTCACAGCTGATCTGCTGAAGAATTATGTTAAATTAGAAATGAAAAATGTGATCTTACCAAAAAAAGAATATTCACATCTCCTAAACTCCTGTTTAAAAACCCAAAGCAAAAATAAGGATGCTGTATGACCCAATTTAAAATTACTCAGTAAATTCCTGGATAATTTGACGCTGAAAGTTTCTACACCATTTTCCCCGGTCAAAATAAAACACAAAAGCTATCATTCATCATTCATCTCCTCTTTGTCCAATCCAGTTAAAAACAAAAATAAAAACGTACCGTCAGCTAAAACAGATTTTCTGGCTGTCCATATGTTAGGATGTTAAGCCCTGAAAATGTTAGAGGGCAAAGTTAAAGTCTAAAATCCTAAGTAAACTCAGCCAAAAACTGAGATAATCGAGAGAACGCACTTCTTACATAAGCATTGGCACGTTTTAAATATAGCTGGTGCTCCCCACTCCCACTCGTTGCTAGCTAACTTCGTATGTACCTGATTTCTGCATAAACTACTAGCAATTCTGTGGTTTCTCGTCATTTCCAAAGCGGCAAAGACATGGAGCCCACTATCAATACAAGGGCCACTTTCAGGTTAAGGAGCCTGACAGAGTAAATAAAAAAATGCCCTCTCTGCCACTAGGCTCTCTCAGCTTGGGTCACGACTGCACCACCGACAGCTCATACTCTGGGCATGATTCGAGATGAAGTATAACTGCACACTCCGTTTTTAAAAACAAAAAGACACACAGTCCTCTCCTCTCCTTTCAAACTAGTTTCCTGTTTAATGCAGGCTCCAATGAGAAGCCAACCATTAATCTTTGATGCCTCCTCACTGCAAAGCTCCTTACCTCGCTCCCCGCACCTCCTCCCCCAACCCCACGCTTGCTTATCTCAGAAGCTTTTGAACTATAGTAACCCCAACCGAGCTCGCTGCAAAGCACGCAAAGCAGCAGCAGCAGGCAGCGGAGGCCCGGTCGCCGCGGGGACAGGGGATTACGTTCTCAAGAACTCTGCCAGGAGTGAGGCCCGTGCCAGGGCGCTCCCCTCCTGTCTAGCCAAGGGTGCTGGCTTCCCCGCCCGAAACACCAAAAAGCTTCCGAGGAAAGACGTGGGGCCAAGTTCACCATCTCCTAACAGAAAAGGGGCTCATCCCCGAAGGGGGAACAAGGGTGTCGGGGTTCCCGGGTGGGAAAAGCAGAACTAAGGGGGGATGCAGGAGGGGTGGCAAGCAAAAGAAGCGGTGGGGACAAAAGGAAGGGATGAGGGGCGCTCTTAATGTAAAAAAGAAAAGGTCTGACAGACCGGCTGCAGAGCAAATAGATCCCCATTCGAAGAGTGGCTTAGCAGGCCTTTCTGCAGCCCCAAACAAGCTCAAACCGCATGAAAACGGGGGAACCTGAGGTTGGGGCTGCGTAGACCAAAGGGTAAGGCCAATGCGAAGAGGGAGGGAAGCTTGGAGGCAAAGTGAACAAAGACGCAGAAGAGGAAAAGTTGGAAATGAGAACTGGCGAAAAGGAGCAGCTCAGGGAGCGGCATAGAAAAAGCCCCGAAATGGGGTGCTGGAAGGCGATGGGGGGAACTCCGAGCAAGGGCATCTTAGGAATGCCGGGGACGCTAAGAATATCTCTGGGAGGGTGGGGAGGAGGCGGCAGAGGACCTAGGCCCGAGGTCTGGAGGAAGGGTCTCTGCGCGGGGCGCCGGGAAGACGGGCTGAGTGGGAGGGAGCCCTGGGGAGCGAGGAGGTCCGCGGGAGGGGCTGGTGACGGCGCGGCCAGGAGGAAAGGAGGGAGGCGAGAGGAGAGCAGCAGCAGCGGGCGACGGGATGGGGGAGGGGAGGCTGTGGGAGGTGGACAGGGGGCGCGGGGGAGGGAAGCGGCCGGCCGGGACGGACGGTTCGGTCACCTCGGGCTGCGGCCTCACTTCCTGCGGAGCAGCGCCGCCGGCAGGCGGGCTCCGCAACTCCCCGGCTTTCTCGCCCGCCTCCCCGTTCTCCTCGGGCGGCGGCGGCGGGGGCCGGGATGGTGCGGCTCACAGCGGCCGCTCCTCCGCGCCGGGCCTTGGTTGCTGCGTCCTGGCAGGTGGCGGCAGCGGCGGCGGCAGCGGCCCGACCCGTGCGGTCACCATCGTCCGCGGCGGCAGGCGCTCGCAGGCCGAGCCCCTCAGCAGCCGGCGGCAGCCATAGCCTCTCGCGCTCGCTCCTCTCGCCCCCAGCGCTCTGCAGCGGCGGCGACCAGGCTCCAGCGCTCTGCGCCTGCGCCTGCGCCTGGCGCCGCCAGCGCGACATGCCCCTCCCCTTTCCCTCACACTCCCCACCCAACTGCCCGCTTCGCGCGCGCACGCGCGCGAACTCCCGCGCTCACTCAGAGTCGCGCCGGCAGGGTGGTTCCCGCGCCGCCTCCGGTAAGTGGGCGGTAGGCACGCCCCCCGCCGCCCCACAGCCGGGCTCGAGCTGCTATGGAGACGCGTACCACGCTTACAGCTGCACGCTCCCTGTGACACGCACCATCCTGACACACGTGAGCTCTCACACTCCTCAAACACCACGAGCTGCACGCACTCACACCCACACCCACCTGCCGGACCACGTGGAGAATTGAAGGGGCTGATCCTCACCTCGTGCAACCGCAGTAGCATGATGCCAGAATTTTTTAACTCCCCAGCAGACTGGTCTTGATTCAACTCCAAGCGTTAAGGACCACGTCTGCGATGGCTCAACAGTGCCTGGCACAGAACAGGTACTCATTAAATCTGTTGAATAACTGAGTGGCTGCCTGAATAAATGAACTGGAACTGTTCACTGAGAATCTTTAAAAATCCTGATCCCTTGATTTAAAGGATTTGTTCAAAGAACTTTACCGTAGTTTAAAACTAAGTGGTATTGTGAGGACTTAATAATATGGGTAACTGTTGAACTACTGTGTAGTGCACTTGAAACCACTACAAGACTGTCTATCAACTATACTTTAATTTAAAAAAATTAATTGGTATTTGTTCGTCTTGTCTTTTGGTCCAAAGTTCAAAACAGATTAGTGTACACACCCCTTTCCCAATGTCGAGGAAACCCATTTATTTTGTCCCAGTCAGTTGCACGGACCAGCATTCCTACCTTAATTTATAAGTCAACACACTTTAAAGGCAGGAACTGTTGCCCACTTCCCCACAAACAGCGCCTGAAGCACTCTGTGTGCACAGACGCCTCCAGAATGTTGCTAGTATTCTGAGCTTTGGCAGGACTCCTTACTGTTTCTGCTGCCCCTCCTCACCACCACCCTCCACAAATCCCTTCACCCAGCACTGCCCCACTCCACAAAGGAAAAACCTTACAGTGTTTCTTGCTTTGTCCTTGGTTAGTGGAGAGCCAGTTGCTCCTAGAAACAATTCTGGTCTTTGATGTTGGCAGTATCTTTATACACAGAAGATACACACACAGTAGGGTAAAATGTTGCAACTATAAGGGATCATCCTTTAATTGCTAAGCCTCAATTTATGCATATTACAAGAGAAATTAACATACTTCTGTCTAGATTACTAAATTCAGGGCCTTCCCTTGGAAATTAAAGTCTCTGTCCTCTGTATTTTCAATGGTAAACCCCAAATTCTGAACAACCTTTGTATCCTGCTAAAACTGTAAAAAGCAAACTGCATTAAGAAAATGCAATTCCTGGAAGCATCCATCAATCAAATACAGAGTAACTTCCCTTCCACTAGTTTGATAACCCTATTGATTTCAAGTTTTAAAAATTTCTGGGAATTGTGTTCAAACTCTCTGTAGCCGCCTTTCATCCTGTGCCTTACACTACTTCAGAATAATCAAGCCTGCTGCATTCCTGAGAGGCAGTTTTATGAATCTCTTTATATAGCATGGTAAGTAAGAAATTATAGAGACCACATGACTAAACACTAGACTAAATAACTGCCTTCCATAGCAAGGCCTTATCCCTTGCTTTCCTCCATTTTAACAACTCTGCTACTAACTCAGTCAAGAAAACATAAGGCCAGCATCAGATTACAAGAAGTCAAAAAAATATATAACCCTAAATTCTAATTGGATTTATTTATTTTTCTAGGTGAATTGCAGAATCTTGAAAATACTCCTTTAAGTGTTCTTACCAGATTTGTGTGGTTTGTTTAAATGGAGGAGCAGGCTTCTAGGCCCAGGGCTTCATTAGTCTCTGTGAAGGAGTAAAGAGAAATGGCAAGCCCATGAGAGGAGGAGAGCATTCCTATAATTGAAGTTGCATCCTTTGATCCCAGGGTCATTTTGTTCAGCTTTCCTGCCTTCAAAGAAAATTCTTTTGAATGAGAAAAAAAGGAAATCAAGCACACTGAGTCACCCATAGAAACCAAGACCATGTTTTCTGCCATCATCTGAGACTGGAGGCTCTTTTGGAAGGCTTAGAGCCACCATTCCTTTTTAAAAGGGGGGATAAAATGTCTTCAAAACCCTATAAACCTCACTGTAAGTGAAAGCAGGAAAAGGTCACGTCTTTTTCACCTTTGAATTTTATAGCCACTGCGTGTTCAAAACAAGTAAAGAAAACTACCCTGATAATGAAAGCGTTACTGCTATTATGTTGCTGCTAATCCAGTTTTGGGAAAGCTCCACATTGCCAGACTCAGGTAAGCAAATCAAACTTAAAAAAAAAAAGGTACAGGAAGATTGCTCAAATGCAAAGCAAGCACAGTGTAGAGTAAAAGCCTTCTAGAAGCACCCAAACCCACCCAAATCAGAAAATGTCAGAAGCAAAATCATAAGTACCTGGAACAAAGCTTAAGGAAATGCCTAAATGCCCCGCTTGGTCATAAAAGGAATTAGCTTCAGGTGCCAGAAGGAAAGAACTGGGATGTTTATGACTGCAGAATGGCAGGCCATTCAGGATTCTAAAGGTTATCTTCCTGTTCAGTAAATGTATCCAACATTGGAGAATTCAGCATAAAGTTTGGAAGAGTGCATATTTGTTTCAGTTCTAATCATTCTAAAAGTCTAGTCTCTGAATTCCTTAAAGAATTTACTATTGCTAATAATCCCATCAAAATAGTCTTTTGTTGCAGATCTGCAGATAATTGATGGCCGGTTCATTATGCACTGTCTTCTAGATCCAGAAATAAGATATGATGCAACAGATTTCACATGAGACCAAAATCCAAAGAACCTGGATAACCAACATTGGAAATATGGGTGAATGGAGAATTTTCATGTATTCATTTATTCACTTACATTATTGGTTCCTAATATTTTCTGGGCACTTTGAGGTTTTCTCTATTGAGTTCAAAAATTGTTAACTTTCTTGAATAGAGGGGTCTAAATGATATATAAAACCTCATTCAATCTGGCTACCCCCATGGTTTGATATTGAAAATCAACTCTCAAGAGGAAACTCCTAGTTTTCCTAGGCAACATGGTTCAGTAAAGAGGAATTCACCCTTTTTGAGATATAGTTAAGATATAATTCACATGCCATATAATACACATCTTTTAAAGTATAAAATTGAGTGGTTTTTAATATATTCACAGAGTTGTGCAACCATCACCACAATTTTAGAACATTTTCATTACCACCTCTCTTCCCCAAAAAACCTGTATCCATTAACCATTACTTGCCCTTCTCCCCAGACTTAGCAACCACAAATCCTTCTCTTCTTGCCAAAAAGAAATTCCATTGTATGGATATACCTCATTTTGTTTATTCATTCATCAATTGATGCACATTTGAGTTGTTTCCACTTTGGGACTCTTGTAAGCAGTGCTTCTGGGAACATTCGATTACAAGCTTTTGTGCAGACACATGTTTTCATTTGTCTTGGGTATATACTTAGTAGTAGAATTGAATTACTGAGTCATATGGTAACAACTCAGACTGTTTTCCATTTTCCATTCCCATCAGTGTATGAGGAGAGATTTACTCTTAGATTCAGATGCTCCCTATTTGTTAGAGGGACCCTGTGCCGAGTGTACATAATTTACAAACACCTCCATTTGTCATCTATAAAGCAGGGATAATGATAGTATCTTCTTCACAGGTTTATAGTGAAAAATAAATGAAATGATGTATGACACTATTTCTGGTACATTGTAAGCCCTTGATAAATGTTATTAGTCCCTTTTGTCTTTGGTATTTGGTTGGCCACATTTATTTTATAATGAAGTCAGAGATAAAATTATAAATCCTTGTTAACAGTAAGAGATGCATACAGAAAACTGGTGCTGAATAAACATTGTTCATGGATAAATGGAAAAAGCACTGGAACTTATATTGTTTTAATACAGAAATAAATTTATCTTTTTCTATATTCTGTGGAACTAATACCTGAGACTATGGGAGGAAAAAACATAGAAACAACTCAGCTTTTTGTTTGCTTTGGATCTTCCAGTTTTCCCCCAAAACATTTTTAATTTCCCCAACTTTTTATTTTGAAAAGATTCAAACATACAGAGTAATTAAAAGGATATTACAATCATCACATATATTCACCATTCAGATTCAACAACTGTTGAAGTTTTGAATGTTTGCTTTCTATGTGTGTGGGTCTTTTGTTAAGCTCTTTGAGAATAAGTTACAGACATCAACACACTGCACCCCTAGATTCTCTAACCTGCCTCTTCTAAAAATAGGAGCTCTGTCCAGTATTAACAAATGCTATTAACAAACCTAAGAAAATGATTTAACAATTCCCTAAATTTCTTACTGTCCAGCCAGTATTCATATTTTTGCAGCTCTCCCTGAAATATCTTTTATAGAAACCTTTTTTCTAACCAAAAGTCAATCAAATTTTATTCATTGTCTTAGTTGTTATGTCCTACAAGCCACCTTTGCTTTTAATCAGTCCAAATGCCTGTGACTGTTTTGAATCTCTAATATATCAGCAGGGGAAAAAAATGTGCTGTTGGTTTCACATTTAAAGTCAACTGGTATACCTGTATGCTACCCAGCTACTTCCGGTGTGTTGACTGTGTGTGATTAAGCCTGAGATAGGCAGTAAAGCAAAACTGTGTGTTATTTTTTAAACATGATGATATTCAACTAAATAGAATGGATGTTGATTGTCATAGACATTTGTTGTCTCCCCAATAACATTCCTGCCGTGTAGTTTCTTGGGCATTGACCCTGGATGGATCAATCCGTTTATTCTGTCTCCTGTAGTGATTACTCCAGGGAAGAACTGACAAGTCAAGCCAGTCAGGGTAAGATTCAATACCAGAGCTTTCGACTGAATTATTGGGAAAGCAAAGTTTCTCTTTCCTGGTAGAACTAAAAAAGGAATCCTATAATTTCAGGGATTATAGGAAGCCATCCTGAATTCAAAAGGGAAGAGCCAGCCTGAAAATTTGCCAAAGCAAGTAAAAGGACCCTGGACATAAAAAGATTCCAAGACCTGGCCACAGTGTATGAGTCCTGATCAAAACCTCACTGGAAGCCAGCATCTCCACTCCTATTATTTAATTATATTAGCCAATAAATTACCTTTCTTGCTTAAGCCACTTTGGGTTGTGTTTTCTGTTATTTGCAATTGAAAGAGTCCCAAGGCATTCAATTCTTTAAATTTGCTATTCAGTGTAATACACTGTTATGAAGATAAGGAAGTAACTAAAAAAAACAATAATGGCGATGATAATTACATAGAGACACAATTGTGCAACTTAACAATCAAATGTTGTTTAATTAAAAATTAACCATTCAAGTGTCTAGAAATAGAAGCTAATATTCCAGAAGTCCCACTCTTACTCTTTTCCATTCACAACTGTCTCACTAACTACAAAGCTAACCATTTCTCCAACTCTAATATAGTCACTTGCTTTCCATTGTTTGACCACTAAGTTTGAATCTCTAAATACTATAGTTTGGTTTTTCTTTACTTTTTTGTTGTAGTTGATGTACAGTATTAATTGTTTTCAGGTGTGCAAGGTAGTGATTGACAGTTATCTATGTTATTAAATGCTCACCTTGAAAAGTACAGTTACCATCTGTCAACATACAAAGATATTACAATATTATTGACTATAATTCCCTATGTTGTACTTTCATCCCTGTGACTAAGTTATATTGTAATTGGAATTTTGTGCCTCTTTAGTCCCTTTACCTATGTCATCTACCCTCTGCCCCCTTTCTCATGGCAACCACCAGTCTCTTCTCTGTGTCTATGAGTCTATATCTGTTTTGCTTTTTTGTTTTGTTTTTTAGATTCCACACACAAGTGAAATCATATGGTATTTGTCTTTCTCTGCCTAGCTCATTTAACTTAGCATAATACCCTCTAATTCTTTCATGTTGTCACAGATGACAGGATTTCATTCTTTATTATGGTTGAGTAATATTCCATTGAATATATGTACCACTTCTTCCTTATCTGTTCATCAATAGATGAACACTTAGGTTGCCTCTGTATTTTCCTTATTGTAAATAATGCTGTGATAAACATAATGGTGTGTATATCTTTTCAAATCAATGATTTTGTTTTCTTCGGGTATTCCCAGAAGTATAATTACTGGGTTGTATGGTATTTATATTTTTAGTTTTTTGAGAATGTAGTTTAGTTTAGCTTTGCCTTTTCTTTAATTGTACATAAATGGAATAACATGATATGTATTCTGTGACTAGCTTTTTCTGCTTAACATTGTGTTTGAGATTCAATTATGTTCTTGTGTGAAATTGCAGTTCATTCATTTTCATTGCCGTATAGAATTCTATCATATGAAATAACATTTATTCATTCTGCTATTTTATAAACATTTGGGTTCATAAACACCCATATTCAAGTTTGAGGCTACTACAAATTATGCTGTCAACATCTTTGCACTTGTCTCCTGGTTCATACATTTTTCTTGAAGAGAATTATTGGGCCACTGGGTCCAGAGGCATTCAGTTTTCTTAGACAACTGTACACTAACTTTCAAAGTGCTTGCACCATTTTATGCTCCCAACGGCAATCATGTGAGTTGCAGTTCTAGTCTCTGATTGGTGTTATCAGTCTTTTAACTTTAACCATTCTAATAGGGCTTTAAACTTGCATTTCCCTAATTGCTAATAGAGGTGTGTACGTTTTCATACTGGCCTTTTGGACTTCCTTTTTTTGTGAATTGCTCAAGTATCTTACTCAATTTTCTCCTGGGTTATCTTTTGCTTTTTACTTTGTAGTCCTTTGTATATTCTGAACTCAAGGCCTTTGCCAATTATATACATTGCAAATTCTCTTGTTTTGTAGCTTCCCCTTTCATTCTCTAAATGGTGTTTTTTGATGAATACATATTAATTTAAATTTAAAATTTTTTAATGTTTAATGTTCATTTTAAGCTTCTTTTCCCCCAACTCCATAGTGCCATTCCTTGTTGTAAATGGAGTGTGCATATCTGAGCAGATCCATTTCTCAGCTCATTATTCCATCCCCTGATTTGTTTGCCTATCCTTGTGCTAATAGCAAACTGTTCCTGTTACTCTAGGTAAACAGGAACCTTGATAGGTGGTATAAAAAGTTCTCCTAACTGGTTTTCTTCTTTTTATTTTGTTTTCTTCAAGAGGGCCTTGGCTCTTTGCATTTTCTTGACTATTTTGAAATCATATTTGGAATTTTGACTTGTCAAGTTGTCTAAGATCTCATTGAGATTTTTAGTTTTTGACATAGAGGTCTTGCATATTACAATAATTTCTAGATTTTGGGGGGATGTTATTGCTAAGGGTAATTTAAGTTTTATATTAGCATTTCCGTTTCCAGAGTTCCTGTCCCAAAGAACTTCCGACCTCTCCCAAAGGACAAACACATTAATAGTTTTAATACAAAGTGGAGTGGATTGCATATGATAAAGGTGGGCAAAGGTTTCCATGGAAATACAAGTGGGAGGGATTAGCCTATTCTATAGGGTCACAGGGGTAGGAGGACAGGAAAGGCATATTGAAAAATAATAAAGAATCAGCTAGAGAGCAAAGAGTGAGGTAAAGAAAGGGACAATGAACAGTATTCAAGACAATTTGGTTCTGGCACAAGAAAAAACCCAAAGACCAGTGAAACAGACTAGAGAGCCCTGATATAAACCCAACCATACACAGTCGATTAATATATGATAAAGGAGCCATGGACATACAATGGGGAAATGGCAGCCTCTTCAACAGCTGGTGTTGGCAAAACTGGACAGTTACATGCAAGAGAATGAAACTGGATTATTGTCTAACCCCATACACAAAAGTAAACTCAAAATGGATCAAAGACCTGAATGTAAATCATGAAACCATAAAACTCCTAGAAGAAAACATAGGCAAAAATCTCTTGAATATAAACATGAGCAACTTTTTCCTGAACGTTCTCCTTGGGCAAGGGAAACAAAAGCAAAAATGAACAAATGGGACTACATCATGCTAAAAAGCTTCTGTACAGCAAAGGTCACCATCAGCAGAACAAAAAGGCCTCCTACAGTATGGGAGAATATATTTGTAAATGACATATCCGACAAGGGGTTAACATCCAAAATATATAAAGAACTCACATGCCTCAACACCCAAAAAGCAAATAATCCTATTAAAAAATGGGCGAAGGATATGAAGAGACATTTTTCCAAAGAAGAAATTCAGATGGCCAACAGGCACATGAAAAGATGCTCCACATTGCTAATTATCAGGGAAATGCAAATTAAAACCACAATGACATACCACCTCAAACCAGTTAGGATGGCCAGTATAGAAAAGACTAAGAACAACAAATGCTAGCAAAGATGCGGAGAAAGGGGAACCCTCCTACGCTACTGGTGGGAATGTAAACTAGTTCAACCATTGTGGAAAGCAGTATGGAGGTTCCTCAAAAAACTAAAAATAGAAATACCATTTGACCCAGTAATTCCACTGCTAGGAATTTACCCTAAGAATGCAGGAGCCCAGCTTCAAAAGGACATATGCACTCCTATGTTTATTGAAGCACTATTTACAATAGCCAAGATATGGAAGCAACCTAAGTATCCATCAGTAGATGAATGGATAAAGAAGATGTGGTACATATACACAATGGAATACTATTCAGCCATAAGAAAGAAACAAATCCTACCATTTGCAACAACATGGATGGAGTTAGAGGGTATTATGCTCAATGAAATAAGTCAGGTAGAGAAAGACAAATAGAAAATGATTTCCCTCGTTGTGGAGTATAACAATGAAGCAAAACTGAAGGGACAAAATAGTCTAATAAGGGACTAGTGGTTACCAGAGGGGAGGGATGGGGCAGGGTGGGTGGGGAAGGACGGAGAAGGGGATTGTGGGGTGTCATGATTGGTGCACATGGTATGTGTGGGGTCACAGGGAAGACAGTGTAGCTCAGAGAAGACAAATAGGGACTCTGTGGCATCTTACTACACAGATGGACAGTGACTGCCATCGGGTATGGGGGGATTTGATAATAAGGATGAATGTAATAACCACATTTTTTTTCTTGTGAAACCTTCGTAAGAGTGTATATCAATGATACCTTAATAAAAATAAAGAACAGGATAATGAGTACACATTTCATGTACATGTATCAGTATGTTAACATGGGACAGACACTTCCTACCTTAGTATCAAGTGAAGTGCCAAAACAAGTGATTCAGATGCCAGCACAAGTGTGCAGCAAGTTCTCCCATGGGCATAATTTACAAAAGGAATGCGAGCATAGTAGTTCCAAGACTCCTGGACCTCTTTGCCTGGATAAGATTATCAAATGGTGTAAAATTGTGAGTGGAAGAGGATTGGGGAGGGGTTCCTTTGGAGGCAGCTATTGCTGTCAGTACCCCCAAGCAAAGGCAGCATCGTTGAGGGTGCTATCTCCTCCTGCTCTCAAAAATCCTTGGTATTCCTTGGCTTATAGACATGGCTCCAATTTCTGCCTCCAGCATCACATGGCCATCTCTCAGCCATTAGATTCAGGGCCCACCATACTCCAGTATGAATCATCTGAACACATATTTCCAAATGTGGTCACATTATGAGATTTCAGGTAGACATGAATTTTGGAGGATGCTGTTCAACCCAGCACAGCTTCTGTGGTTCCTACCCCTTGGGGCTCCTCTCTCCCCTTGGGGGGCTCTTTGCTTCCCCAGCCTCAGCTCTAAATGTTGTAGTGACTCAAGGCTTTGGCCAGGGCCCCTTGCCTCCTCTAAACACACTTTCTCCTTAGGGGGTATCATCTGATCCCATGGTTTTAACACCCAAGACTTATGTTCCAGCCCACTCCTGTACCCAAATTCCAACCTCGTATTGGTAATAGTACTAAACACTCATTGGATCCTTACTATGTACCAGACCCTGTTATAAGCTCTTTATGTGTATTAACTCTTTAAATCCTCACAACAAATTTATGTTGTGAGTACTATCTTAATATTCAGTTTACGGATGCAGAAACTAAGGCATCCAGAGGTTAAATAAATTATTCAAGCCCACATAGTGAGAAGGAGCCAGGGTTTGAAACTGGGTAAGCTGGGTCCAGAGCCTCCTCTCTTAACTGCTGCATCC